TTTTTTTACATCTACAAAAAAAAGAATATTATGATATGGTTATACATCCTAATCAGTTAAAAATTTGTCTTATGATGTTATGTCTTAGGTCCTGTTCATTCTTTCATTTTCATTCAAATTTTCTATCTTTCTCTCTCACACATACACACACACATACTCATTTACTCATTTCCTCTCTTTCTCTCTCTTTCTCTCTCTCTCTCTCTCTCTCTCTCTCTCTCTCTCTCTAAAAATGAAATTTCTCGTTAGATAAAACATGCGAACGCGTCGATTTCAGAATCTTATTTTATTTATTAATCGCCATTATTTAACGTACGCATACGCAAAAACGAATCTAATATACTCGTTACCAACACAATTACACATCTCTCTCTCTCTCTCTTTCTCTCTCTATCCATCTATTTAACTATCTATCTATCTATCTATCTCTCTTTTCTTTCTCGCTTATAAACATTAATAATAGTAAAAATACGATGAGAATGTGATGTAAAAGCGGCGATACTTATTCTTCTTTTTTTTTTTTTTGTTTTCTTTTTGTAAACAGTTCCCTCGAGATGAGCGATTGGCTTCATTTCTATATGTTAGAAATGATTATTTTCTTTTTCTCTTGTTTCCCTTTCATCCTCTCTTTCAGTCTCTCCCCCTGCCCCCCCCTCACTCATTTTCTCTCCCTCTTATAATTCTTCAATTTTTTGTTTATTTCTTTCTATTATCTAAGAGCTAAATAAACGCAATCGCTTACAGGAAAATCCTATTTAAATAACGAACGTATAAAGCAGAGATATCGCGCAACTCTCTCTTTTCTCGGGTGCTCATCCTTCTATTTTATTATTTTTTATTAATTTTCTTTTTCTTTTTTTTTTTTTCGCTTAGTACCATTCTTTCTAAATCAATAGAATATATAATTATTATTATTATTAATTATTATTATTATTATTATTATTACTATTATTAATTATTATTATTAATTATTATTATTAATTATTATTATTTATTATTATTATTAATTATTAATCATTATTAATTATTATTAATATATTCATGGGTTTCGTGTGTTTACACGAACATTGAGCGTCGCTGGCAGGTTGCTCGCACGATTCGCCATTAAATTAAATCATTGGAGATCTGTATTTCCCTTCGTTATCTTTCGAAGTCACGAAATAATCATTCTATTTTCACTCTCTCTCTCTTTCTCTCTCTCTCTCTTGGTTTTTTTTTCTCTTTTTTTTTTGTCGAGTCGTATTCTAAAATAGATCGGAATATGTATTGTATGTACGTATGTATTGTTTCGAGGCGAGCTTCGCGACAACATAAATCGTCCATGTAAACACACACGCACATTCACACTCACACACTCGCACACAAGAAATTCAGTTTAAATCTCACGTATTACGTGCACATATCGCACGTTATATTTATTAATAAACTATTTTATATATATATATATATATATATATATATATATATATATATACACATACATACGTTTATATACATATATGTATATGTATGTAATATATATATATACATAAACATATATATATATATATATGTATATAGTACGTTATTCTTCAATTAATCAGCAAGGATCACTTCTTTCGTGTCTTATTTACCAAGCCTCTTAATGGTATACAACTTATTCTCTAGTTGTATTGTAACAAATATTGCCTCGAATATAAACTTTTCTTAATTAAGTTATATATCTCGTGTTTTCTTTTCTTTTCCTTTTTTTTTGTTTGTTTGTTTAGGTTCTCTCTCTCTCTCTCTCTCTCTCTCTCTCTCTCTCTCTCTCTTTCTCTATTTCTACCTCTATCTTTCTCAATCACTTTTTTCTCTTTCGCTCACATTTCATACTCTCGCTCTCTCTCTTTCTCTCTCATACTCACGGGCATTCGCACCATCTTTCTCTCTCTCTATCTCTCTTTCTCTCTCTCGTTTTCTCTTTTCACCTCACATTCTCATTTTCTTTCCATATGCACATTCGAATGGACAAAATGGCGGTCATTCGCGCGCATATCTCAAGGGGGTCTTTATTATCTTACGTTACATATGGCCGAGTATCGGAGTATACATTTATTTATTTATTTATTTGTTTATTTGTTTAATTGTTTGTTTGTTTGTTAGTCATTTGGTTCGCTCTGAAAATCTGCTACTATTGGGCTTTTTTTTTATTGTTTCTCATATTTTTTTTACTTTTCTTTTTTTCTCCTTCCTCATCTCCTGCTTCTTCCTCTTAATCGCAGATCTCTAAAACCTTTCTTATAAAAACATCCCTCGGCCCGACAAAATATTGCCGAGGAACACTAATATATTAGTTTTGTCATCATTGTAGTGTGACTTCATTGTTAAATCTTTTATTTTATTTTATTTTATTTTACTTTATTTTATTTAATTATTCTTTTTTATTCTTCTTCTCTTCTTCTTCTTCTTCTTCTTCTTCTTCTTCTTCTTCTTCTTCTTCCTCATATAAAATTCAATTCA